GTGGGGTGGGGGGCCTGAGAGCTGGAGACAAAAGGGGAAAGTCAACCTCTATCACGATGCTTTTTTATTGTACATAAAAAGGGCAGAAATGAAGGTTTCTGCAAAAAAAAAAATCCTTATTTTATCAAAACTTGTTTATTTTCCATCACATGCTTTGTGTCATTAACACCCCCTGACTCACCATGCACCATGTTAAATCCTTTTTTTACCCCCCTTCAAAAGAAGAGGATGTGTGTGCAGACGCTGGTGACTGGTCATTTACAACAAATCAGAAAATCTCCCAAAGATACGAACTCGTCACGCTCTGCTTATGTTCAACGTTGTGACTCRGGGGCTTTTCTTTCAGCTCCCGATGAAGACTCGTCAGCGGGCGACTCGAGGCCAGCCGCGTGTCAACAGTTTAGGACAAACTCCATCCCCACATCCCCGTTGTTGCAGATGTTACYGAGCCCTGCCTGTAGAATAAAACCTATACGAGAACACTGTTTTTGAGCAGCGCGTGTAACTACACAGACACGGCTTAAAAATAAAAGGRAAATAATAATATTTTTTCTCAGACTGGGAATGGTGTGTTTTTGTCGTAACTCAGGCGCAGGATTTCGTTCCCGCCGGTCTCATTAGGTCCTGCTCTCCAGCTGCAGGTGGACRTGCAGATTAGTGTGAAACATGCTGCTCCTGTGTTTGATTGGAAGGAAAACCTGCAGATGCTCAGTGATGCCGAGCAGGATGCAAGGCTCCGACGTGAGCATGGGAACACTTTCCATTTTCAGCTTGTTTTATGGTCCAGCGCAGAAAAATGACCTTTTTATACAAAAAAAYGGGACATGAAAATTCAAAAAAATTCCTGAAGACATTTTGAAAGGGAGCAGATGCAGCGCCTGCTTAAAATTCCAATGGACTTAGTAATACAAAATCTAATTTACATGTGACCAATCTATAGGAAACAGATTTTTGCAATGACACTATGTTGCTTATCAAGACCCCAGGACACGATGAACATTGTTGTGTATAAAGGTAAAATGAAATATTTAAACTGTTGCCGCTGGCTCATTGTGGTCACCATGGTAACCACACCCCCTGCGTCTGTCGCTCCCTGACTGCCAAGTTAATGAGAGGCGAACTGAAAAGTAAGCCTCAAACAGTCGCTGTGCAAAAGCCATCAGCAGCGGAGGACTGACGGTCCCGCATGTGGAGTCTCGTGCTCCTGCTGCATTTTAGGTAAGAAGTAGGACACGGAGAAAACCGTAAGTAACCGTAACCGCTAGCCTAAGAGCAGCGAGGGACACGCCTAACGGTAAAGAAGAAAAAAACATGCCTCTTTTGAGGAACTATTTGTATCCATATCAAAAACCGTTCACATAAGATTAGAATACTTTAGACATTTTATCATCAACTTTAAGTTTTACATTCAATGAAAAAATGTCTAAAAATCATAAAATTTGAAGAACTGTAATTGTGTAAAAACCTACTACTACTACTACTAATACTAATAATAATAATAATAATAATAATAATTCAGATTGTTTAGAATAAAAAATATCAAAACAAATAGACTATTTGCGGATTAATTTCTTTGTTTTTGNGTCTTACATGGTATCAAAATATATATTTCCTTTTTCCCAAACTTTATTGAAACACTCTTAACATTTCTCTTCGCCTCGCTGCCCAGGTAATGACGTGTCCCAGGACAGCCTGCTCCTCCACGGCCCCTTCGCCCGGAAACCCAAACGGATCCGGACGGCGTTCTCTCCCTCCCAGCTGCTGCGTCTGGAGCGGGCCTTCGAGAAGAACCACTACGTGGTCGGAGCCGAGAGGAAGCAGCTGGCCAACAGTCTGAGTTTATCTGAAACGCAGGCGAGTCCCGTTTGTTTTTAAAGCTACTTCTGAATGTTGGATTTGTTTGAAAAATGTCACTGAACTCTTTAGGACCCCGATAAGACGCACAAAAACACGTCAAAACAAAACTGCCTAGATTATTATTTTATAATAATAATAATAATAATAATAATAATAATAATAATTGAAAAAACACCAGTTCAGTTGTGTACAGCCCAAATATCTGTTACTTAAACTTTGAACATTACTCTTACTCTGAAGCAACTCTGGGTTTTCTCTTGTTTTTCTACCATAATCTCATTGATCTCCATATTTTTTTTCTTTCTGTATATTTTCGCAAAATTTATCTTTGTTTCGCAACAAATCTATTCCTAATCAGGCCACAACCTTTTGGTGTACAGTTTGAACATTTTGTTTTAAAGCTACGCAGAATGTATTTGTAAACCAACAGTAATAAGGAATGCTTATGCACTTGCAACCCTAATAAAAAAAACCCCATTATAAATAAGTTGCATGACAGCCAAATCTATTTAAAAGCCTTAATAAAAGGTTTGAACTGACGCGTCAGGAACTGCCAGAGGATGTGTGTTTCCAGTCGGCTGGTATTTTCTCTGAAATACAGTAAAACACGTCGTGTTCTTCACAGAAGGTGCAAACTCCATGAAAGAAGTGGCAAACTCTTATTATCCTGCAGTGTTTCCACCTTTCACCTGAAATCACCTAACAGAGGAGGTGTAGGACCCTCTGCCCACTGACCCCAAGGCTTCGCAGAGAGAAGAGGGAAAGTGCAAAGATGTAAGAGTAGAATTCACAGCAGCAGTTTCCCACACCCCGCCTTTTTTTTTTTTTTACAAAGGTGCACAAAGCATCAGACATCTGGAGGAGCACAGGGGTCACATGGTTTGTTTTGAGTTCCCATGATACCCTATACTCGCCGCAGGTGCAAATATGCGCTAAAAGGACATCGTGATTATCTAAACAAACACCTTCCACAACGCCCCGTGGCTCATTTCCATGAATAACAGCTTTGAGTCCAGTCGCATCCGGGTTTGTCCTGGTAAAAAAAACTAATAATAAGTTAGCATAATTAACGCCAGTTGCACGTCTCTGTTGTCTGTCAGGAYGAGGAATTAGGAGGAGAAATCACTGTGGTCTCACTAAACGCAGCATGGGGGTCAGCAGGCAGGAGACTGAGTGGGAATCCTGAACAAGAAACAAAAAAACCTCCCTCCAGAGGAGCAGAGAGCTTGTGGGGGGGGGGGGGGGGGGGGGGTGGACTCACTGAATCAGAACAACTAGTTTAATGAACAACTAGTTCACTCAGTGTTGGTTTAACTGAGTCGACTTAAGTCTTTTATGAGGGAGATCTTATTTTCAAAGGCTGATAAAACATTTAGTGAACACAGCTGTAAAACCTCTGAAATGCAAATCACAAGATGTTCACTCTTCCACATACACGTTAACAAAAAAAAGGGGGAAAAAAAAGCAAAGCACTAGAGATAAGAGGGTGCCAACATCTGATTAAAAGTTTGACATTATTCTAAAAGCGGAACAGAAATCAGACAGATTCCTTAAAATGTTGGTGTGTTGTGTTTAACTCTCCCTCCACTTGCAAGCGGTCTCTTGTCGACTTACGCTCCGCTGCAACCTACACGGTTCCCCTGGCAATCGCACAAACACATGAATCACAGTTTATAACAAAAAGCAGGAAGTTTATATAAACAAATAATCTGAGGAGCCATAAATTATAAACTGGATGAACAAATCTATGTAACTTAATTATGAATTTTTTTCTCATGTTAAGTCATTTTTAATGATTGAACTATTGTTTTTCCCAGGATGTAGTTAGTGATTTTTCACCAAACAACTTGGAGAATTGCGTGCACAAGTTTGAATTTATTGTGGATTTTCTCTAATCGACGCAGGATTATTGACATACAGGCTCAAATCATACTGTTTGGTTAAATATTTCTTGTTGTATCAATCATCATAATTCTGGCTGATATTTCACCACTCTTCTTGGCAGAATTGGTAAAGTTTATTTAAATGAGTTTCTAGGAACAGACCTAACGTTTAAGAATAATTCACCAAATTTCAATGGAAAGTGGGGACTTTAGGAGATCCGTTCCAGTARCCTAACGTTAGCCATGAAGCTAGTCTTGAAGGAGGTTTTATTGCCTTGTTGGAACACCCGATGCTGCCCAAGTTTCCAGCATGAAGCTGTTGATTTCAGGTGAGGTTGAATAATTCGGAGGTAATGCAGCCCCTCATGGGAGAAGGGGTTCTCTGCGGAATCAAAGTGGGYGTGTCCCAAGAGTAGGCGTGTCTAAGGCATAAACACTGATTGGCTAAACACCTAGCTTTCGCCACTGTGGTGAGGTATTACTTGAATATTAAACGAACAAYAGTCACTGATGTTTAACAGGTTATTTTTATTATCTTTGTGAGATTTACATGCTTTTTTTCTTTTATCTTGTGTTATGCTGATGGATTCATAGTTATTGCACTAATTATYTTTAAGTAACTGAACTTTTTACTAATTCCGTCATCTATTTGTAGTGAGAGAGTGTAGAGCAGTGACCCCCTGAGTTTTGTTTTGTGCAGAATTAAATTTCAAACTCGCCATTTTAAACACGCGTGTCTTGGTCTGTTTCCAACAGATTCCATGATGACTTTTAAAACCTAGATGTGGTCAGGAGAGAAATAAAAGAAATCAAAAATACATCAAAAGTTGTCAGAGTTTGTTTCCATGAAAATGTKGAAATAAAAACAGAAARCAAATTAACAAGTCTTGTGTACTATGATGTGTAAAAATGTGTAAATACTTTAAGTTTTTTGCAGACCATGAAACAAWTTATGAGAACACTAACATTTTTATCTTTCCTCTATTGTCATAATGACAGTTTCAAATTATGCTGCTTCATTTGGTGATWAAAATTTAAATGCTTAATCTTACTGCAAAAATCAATTAAAGGCTGTTTTCATTTGTATTATTTTAATGATTAAGTTAAAGATGATTTCTAAAATATAGATACCACTGAAGGACAAAAGTCTGACACTATGACTTCTAAATGTGTTTGTATTTCATATCTTTTTATTTATTGACTGACCCCTCATTTACAAATAGCTGTTGTTACAGTTATCTGCCAGGTTGTGCCAATGAGAACAAGTGAAAATGTTATCCTAAACGACCCGGGAACATGCTGGAACCATCAAACTAAAGTTACAATGGGGTGAAACAAACTCCTAACTAAAGCCCTTTTCAGCCCACATAATAGACCTACAGCCCCTCTGACTGGATCAAATATACAGCATAATGTATACTGCTGTAACATTTAAAAACAAATAAAAACAAATATGATTTTCTTTTAACTTATGTAACTTTCTCAAACATAACTTTCTGACAGAGTTTTTACTTGAAATGTAAACTGTACACATTCAAGAATTGATACCACAGGCATTGGTATCGATTCAGAGTATCGGGGCATTTTGTACAAGTACTTGTAAAAATGCTGGTACTGGGACACCACTTGTTAAAAGACATTCTCAAACTCAGCACCATTTATGATAGAGAGTTAAGCGAACATTTGAACATATAGTTTCAGTCTTTGTGGAATAGAGAAAATCAACAAACTTGATCTCGTCCACCGTGTTCATTTTTAAAAATTACTTGTGTATGTTGTATATTCTTTCCATCTGGAACAAAATGGTTCAAAAAATTGTTATGTCAATGTCAGTTTTATCACCCGCTTTGGATGTTATCATCCATTAAATGGACGTTATTAGCCATTATCAGTCCCATAGAATGGCTTCAGACTGTCAGCTGGTTAATATGAGGCATAAAGCCACTAAGGTTAATTTTAGAGAAAATGACATGGGCTACGATAAAGTAGACCGGACCTCTGGTGGTAGCAGATTGTTGCATTCCAACGTATATGGCACTGGTAACCCACTAGGGGGCACTGTTGGGACAATCTGAAGTCATTCTATGGGACTGATAACCGMTAATAACGTCCATTTAATGGACTGATAATATGCGAACTGGATGGTTTTATTTATAGAGCACATTTAAAAAGAGGAATGCTGACCATAGTGCTTCACAAGCAAGAAATCTAGCAATACAATAAATGGAATAACAAACAAGTATAATAAAAAAAAGGCTCAGAACAAACACAAAGTAAAAAAGTGACATTTTAGGTGAGATTTAAAAACCTGCACAGACTCTGCTGTTGTTCCAGAGTCTGGAAATCACCTTTGCAAAAACCTGATCCTCTCTGCACTTTAATTTTGCTTTCAGCTCCATGAAAGCACTTGATTGGAGGATCTCAGTGCTCTGGGTTGTGAAAGWGCAAAACATCCATATAACTGGGTGCCATGTCATTAAAAACTTTAAAACTAAGTAAAAGATTCATAAAACCAAAAAAATGAAAGACAACAGGCAGCCAGGGTAAAACAGCTAAACCAGAAGTGATGTAGTCTTGAGCAGCAGCGTTCATTACAAGCTTCAAGTAAATATCCAATCAGGTCATGATTTCAGATTAAAACTGTTGTGTGGACGCAGAAACTGATCTTTTAACTCCTCTTCAGCATGAAGACAAAATAAAAGTTTCGGAACATCTGTACTACAGAACAAAAAAGGTTTATTTTGAGTTTTACTCCCATATTCATGCAGTCACGGAAACAGAAACTTGACTAAAATACATCACAGATTTTTTTAATTAAGGCAAATTGATAAACAGATCTGTACACCGATTCTATTCATCAGTTTCCCATATGTTTTATTTCTGATCCAGCATGAACTCCAGTGAATGTTAAACGTGGGTGTTTTCCTGTTTTTTTTTCTTTTGCTACTTTTTTAATTAACCAATTTTCTTCACATTTATTGCCAATTTATTAAAAAAAAGGCAAAGTATCTGTTAGAAGACAGGTAATCCTTGGTGAGCTGATTAATATATGACAGAAGGCTTCACGGAAGCTTTAAAACAGAATTTTTGGCATTAATTTAGTTGGTAAGCGTCCATGCTGTTATGTCGTTATGACTTTGAGCTATTGTGATGTATATTTTGCYGTCACTGTTACTGCTATTTAATGACTATTATCTCTGTATGAACGTAAGATTGTCGGGATCAGCTGCTGTTCTCTGAGCGTATGCTACCTCCACCATCAGTCTCTGGCAGCCTCTGATGGTTTGACCTGCGGCGAGCAGCGGGTTCTTCCTCTCGTGGCAGCCAGCAGAGAGATCGCTCATAGTCCTTTATTGTATGTCACAATCTTACAATCTGTTGCCATTGCAATCTCTGGCTCTAGCTGCTTCACGCTGATCTGTGGGAATCAAAGCAGAACAAAAAGGTCAGCGGCTCCAGTTGAAACACTTGGCACAAGTATTCAGCTGGTACGTTTGCATTGTGTACATGTAATATAAACATGCATTAATATTTCTTAAACATATCTTGTGAAACTCTTCTGTGTGACTAAATAAATCTTAAAGGCTTTAAATGTTCTTCATTTGCAGCTAATGTGCAAAAAGAGCCAATTTGGCAGATTAAAGTCTAATTTGAGGTTTACATCTCCTAATATTTGAACCAGAGACAGATGGCTGTTAGAGTTTGGAGGCAGAATCCTAATCAGACATCTTGCTAGGTGTGAAATGGGGAAGTGGGACAAATTGAGTAGGCGGGGGGTCCCGGGGAGCAGGGCATTCATGTTGCTTATTGGGGAGATCTTTTTTTTTTTTTCATCTGCTATCCCTGCGAAAGTGCAAAAAGGACTTGTGATAGAAAAACAGGCTTCTCCGTGGAACGGGAGGTAGCTTTTCACAGGACTGTTGGCAGCACATATGTCTGAAGTTTTTTTTCTTTTTTCTTTTTTGCCATATGGCTGTCTAAGCTATTTCCAGTGGTAATTAAATCCTAAACATTTTAAAGCCAGAACTGGTTGGCTTGTGTCAGCAAGTCACTTGGCAGAGAGGAGACAAAAACAGCGAAATGGAGTGAAAAACAAAAATCTTGCTATTGCCATTTAATGAGCAGAGTGACACATACTGAGGCAACGAGGCTAAAGTTAGATCTCAGCCTGCTAGCCTGGATGGCATCAGTGGCAGTGAATAAAGGCAGCGAGCAGATCACAACAGCGCAGGTTACGTCTCAAAGGGCTACGCCTCATTAGGGAAACACTGAAGAGGTCAGGAGGAAACATCAGTCACTGCTGGACCTGAGTTATGGCAGACCTGAACTAACTCAATACAGTGGAGGGTTTTTTTAGAAATGAAAAGAAAAACAAAATCACGCTCAGATTGACACTCAATCGTGGCATGGCAAATACTTCTCTGGTTAAGTCATTGCTTTTAATTCAGACTTTTCTTTTTTTAACAGAGAACCACTCTGGTTTTAACATATGCAACAAAAATCCCTTTGAAATATCTGTTATTCAGGTGAAACATATACAGTATGTACCTGCTTTACTTTTCAGTGTCAGAGAGCTACATCTTTCTGAGCAATAAGAAAACAACAACAATGCTTTTCTGATTAGTTATAACAGTAGACTTTATTTGATAAACATATATTTTAGATATATATTATAGCTGGAGGACAACAGAGCTGCTTCATGG